ATAATCTACTCTTACCGACCCTAATTCTTTCAAGAACCAATTAGAACAACATGAACTGTAGATGACATTATTTCCAGGCAGAAAATGCTAAGAAATCCACCATACAACTAACACAGTATATGTGAATTCAGTAAGGTCACAGGTCAGTGCATTTTTATACATTAGCAAAACACAGAAAGACAAAAATGCATTTATAGTAAGATCAAATATTTCTGAAGAAGCTGACAAAGATGAAAGGCCTACATTCTGAAAACTATAAACATCACTTGGCAGTAGAGAAAGACCAAACCAATGGGGAGACTGACCGTGTTTATGAACTAAAAGCATCCATTCTTTTAGTTATTACTTGTCCTCACGTTGATACATAAATTCAGCGCAATCCCAAACAACATTCTCTGTAAATATTTTGGGAGAAAAATTAATTCTAAAGTCAGTAAGAAAATGCAAACAATATAGAATAGCCAAATCAATTTTAAAACAGGAACACAAAGTTAGAAGCCTTATACTATCTATTCCAAGGCTTAGTATAAAGCTACGTCACACACAAGACAGTTTGCTATGAACAAATGGGTAGACACAGAGAGTAATGAACTAGGACAGTGAGTCCAGAAACTAAGCCAGCCACATATGGTCAGTCCATTTTTGACAAAGGTGCCAAGTCAATTAATTTAGAACATAAAAGTCTTTTCAACAAATGGATGTTGAAAAGTGGGTGCCCCCATGGAGAAAAAGATGATATCATGCCACAGATAAAAATTAACTTGAAATTCATCCTAAAATACACCTAAATGAAAAAGTTAACACCACAGAAATTCTAGAAGAAAAAAATGTAAACATACAGTAATGCCTTCCTATACAAGGCATAAAAGTATAAACCATAAAAAATTGAACTTTATCATCATGAAAACTTGCCCTACTCTACAGGTACAATCAAGAATTGGGTAACAGTTTCATAGATATGACAACAAAAGCCAAAAAAGAAAGAAAGAAAAAGAAACTACATTATATCAAAGTTGAAACTTCTATGCTACAAATGATACTATAAAGAAAAAGAAAATTGATCAAATAGGATAAAAAACTTGAAAATCACAAGGGATTCATATATATGCATATTTTTTAAAGGACTGAGAGGAGAAAGAACTGAGAATTGCTATTAGTACAAAGTTTCTTTGGGAGGAACAAAAACATCCTAAAATTAGGTTGTGATGAGTTTCACTTTGAAACTTTAAAAATATATAACCGTATACCTCATGCAAGTATAAATGAGCATGTTAATTATATCAATGAAGCTACTTTTAAAAAATCACTATTTTTAAAGTCACAATTGTGAAAATAAAAAAACTACAGATTAGGAGGAAATATTCCTATTACATGTATCTGACAGATACTAGGATATATGAAAACCACCTAAAATCCAATAATAGGATAATAATCCAGTAAAACATTAGCAAAAGATTTGAAAAACTTCTTTACAAAGAAAGTATGTAAGCAGAAATGACCGGTGAGGGTGTAAGAAGACGACCAGCATCATCAACAGTCAGGAAATGCAAATTAAAACTGCCATAGGATACTTGGGTGCATCCATCAGAATGACTAAAACTGAAGAATGCTGTAAGAATGCAGGACAACAACTTACATACACTGCCAGCAAACTTTGAAAAACTGTCATCTTCTGTAAAATCTAAACACAACACTCACCATCTGACCCACCCACCCTGATTTTAGGTCTTTACTCCAACATACATCCAAACAAAGAATAATACATGAATATCCCAAGAGGCTTTATTCACCATACCCCAAACTGGAAACAATGTGGGTGGATAACATGTGGTTCATTCACACAGTGGAATACTACTCAGCAATAAGTAACAAGCAACTAGAACCCCCTACTACACTGATGCACATTAAAAATTTGTTGGAAGGGCTGACACATTGGTTTAATGGGCTATTCCTTTCCTTCCACACATCAGTATCCCATGTGGGTCCTGGTTTATGTCCCAGCTGTTCCACTTTTGAAATTTATTTTTATTGGAAAGTCAGATTTACAGAGAGACATAGAGACAGAGAGAAGACCTTCCATCTGCTGCTTCACTCCTCAAGTGGCCACAACAGCTAGACTAAAGAGCTGATCTAAACAGAGCTGATCTAAAGTCAAAGACCAGAAGCTTCTTCTAGGCTTCCCAAGTGAGTGCAAGGTTCCAAGACCTTGGGCCATCCTCTACTGCTTTCCCAGGCCACAAGCAAGGAGTTAGAAAGAAGTGGAGTAGCCAGGATATGAACCAGCGCCCATATGGGATTCTGGCACATTCAAGGCAAGGACTTTAGCCATTAGTCTATCACACCATGCCCAGCCCTGCTTCCCATCCAGTTCTCTGACTATGGCCTGGCAAAGCAGTAGAGAATGGCCTAAAGCCTTGGACCCCTGCACCAGTGTGGGAGACCTGGAAGAAGCTCCTGGTTTCAGATGGGTTCAGTTCCAGCTGTTGCATCTACTTGGGGAGTGAACCAGCAGATGGAAGATCTTTCTGTCTCTCCTTCTCTTTGTAAATCATTCAAATAAAAGTAAATAAATCTTTAAAATATAAAAATTTAAAAACCAGATGTGGTAAAATGGACATATATTATTCAGCAATAAAGCTGATTGTTAAAAAGTAGCGAGAACCCATGAAAATACAAATAAACACTTGCAATGAACAGATTCAGTGATCATATACACAGTGGTTCTGAATTTCCCACTAGTGCAAATAGTGGAAGCATGCATCACCTGTAAATCTGGATGTTATAATTAACTTGCCTGACAGATCTTCTCCAGGGCCTGACCAAGCTAATTCCAGCCTACTTCCTCTGTAAATTAGCATAAATTCTCAAGAGCACTGGTCGCATTAATGAGGTTTAAAGCAGAAGAGGGAGGAAGTTTCTGGTAGAAGTTCAGGGTGGAAGCGGGGAGAGCTATGCCAACATTGACTTTCAAATATGGTTCTGATCCCGAAAACTTCTATGCTCACAAGTCAGCCCATCTTTCCATTACATTCTGCTGGCACATTTATAATCACACTGCTTAGAAAGGGAAGACTCAAGTTCCCCTGAACTTGATCTTACAAAGTTAAAGGGCATTTGTAGAGAAACCAATGAAAGGCCACAGATGCCCCGAAAGAAACCAACAGGTACTGGTGAGCTCTTACATGTGACACTGTAGTGCTGTCACCCCGTTCTCTCATGCCCTGACTACTCGTTCAATCTACATATCCGTAAGATTTCCATTTATTTTTCTCATCAGGAAAACTATCCTCAGACTCAGATACGGGCCCATTTCCCCAGCTAATAAGAGGCAGAGCTGAGATGTATACATTTGGAGTGCTCTAACTGCTCTCTCATTTTGCTTCATCACAAAATGAAATCAAACACATCCATGTAGCTTTGGATGCAAAGCTTTGGATCCACAAACACATCCACGTAGCTTTGGATACAATTATTAGTACTGCTTATATTATCAGTAAGGAAGCACACGGCTAAAAGCACACAACTTTTTAGCTCACACACTGTGAGCTTCATTTGTCACCGACGTGTCACATGCTTTCCACTAGACAATCTGAATTTGCAAAGACACTGATTCATCCGCACCTGTAACAGTAGAATGTGTATAAAACAAAACCAGTTCCAGGGAGTGGCCTGAAGCTTTGGGAATACTCTTGCTCTCCAGGAAAAAAATCAGAAACATTGCAAATCGGAAAAGAGAAGTGCAGGCACTGGGAAAAGGTCGCAGATGTGTAACTGGAGAGTTAGGGTGCAACCCAGCATGCAAAAGCTGCTTACATTGGAAGAATAGTATATTTTTATCAGTCAGTCTCACAGGTGACTCTAACAGCAAATCACTAAGACTGCTGCTTACCATTCAAGACTGCTACAACAGCAAAAAGTCAAGTATATGCTTCTAGTTTGGAGACTTTAAAATTACACAAAAATTCCATACTCTCCTAAAATATTTTAAAGAACAAAAGATAAAATAAATGCACTGATAAACACTTAGTTGCATCCTAACACGATCCCTAGTTAAAATGTTGTTTAAACATCCATAAAGACATGAATACATGAAATATTACTTGTTAGCCTAATCGCCAATGCTTCTGCATACCTCTAGTGATCTTAAGTCTGAAAATCACTAGTAAATAATGAAATCAGGTATGTATTCTGGTCGTCAACAAAAATCCTCTTCCATCACTAAACTCAAAATTATAGTGCTCCAGAATTTACTTAGGTCATGGCTAAAGCATGTTACTCTAATGCCATTTCTATCATTTACACTGAATATGTGAAGTCCTGACATATGCTTTGGAATTCTATCACTTAGAGAAAACATTTATGTGAACATGGAGGCTCATCCCAATCACATTCAGGTAGTCTCTACGTGCAGACCTGTTTATTTCTTCCATCATCTCCAGGGTTACAGGAATGCAGACATAATCTCATGGGCAGAGAGTGTCAGGCTGGGAAGCAATGAGACTTCTCTGACATCTGACATGAAGAACCACTCCACTCACAGATGTACTTACCCTCCGGGGTAGAATGGAAGGGAAAGAGTACATAGCTTCCATCTGTTTCCCACGCCTGGCACTGCTAGAAATGAAGACAAGGGTGGGAATTTGTCCAAGAGGCACAAGCAGAATGAACTGTGCCGTGAGTTCCCTCAAGTGTCTTTGGGCAGCAACATTTGGACATTAGGAAGACAGAGACCTTGCCATAAGAATACTGGAACCTACTGTGAGGATGTTTACGCTAGTCCAGCAGCTACAGACTAGACCCAAAGGATCCCACAGCCTCCTGGGTGCAGCCCTCTGTTTCCAGATGAATACAGGTTTCTCTAGTGAGCCACAGGCCACAGTGCTCACACGAGTCTAGCCTGGCCACTGCACTAATCTTTACCACCTTGTCCTGTTCGCTGGAGTATGCACTGGAGTATGAGACCTTGTCTGGGTTTCACTGACAACTAACAAGATACTTACAGTTGCATGACCAAGTACAAGTGATTTGGGCTTTCGTAAATGTCTTCCAGGGCAACGATGTTTTCATGCTTAATCCTAAAAGGAAAACAAAGCACATGCATCAGGTAGGAGGTTAAATTCCACATAACTTTTCAAAACAAAACAAAAACCAGAATCCAAACGCTTTTAACAAAACACTCTTCTCAATCTGGTCCACTTCTTACAGATCTCTTTCCCAATATTCCTCCACTACTCTTTCTTTATTCCTCGTCACTTCCAAAGCTCTGTGTCCTACAATTTTGTATGCTTGGATTAACTACTGTTGCTTTACATCTATCCTTGCCTGGGATTCAAGAGGCTCACAGCAATGAGTGAGCATCCTGTTCTCTGGCAGGATCCAACTCCAATGGCTCAGTCGCTGGACAGTCGCATGGCTTGTTCTTCCGCTATCTCGCAGTGCTCATCCCAGACCAGCTTGAAAAGCTGCATCTCCCATAACAGGCTGCACATTCCAGGGACCAGTTTCACCATCATGCTCGTGAATCCAGTGTCAGCAAAGGAAAAGAAGCCTGCCCCTCATCAGGTCTCCCATCCTCCCTCACCAAACACCAATCCAGTTTTGCAAGGCAACTAGACCAGTGCTGCATAATGCATGGCTCTCAGAGAGGCAGCACATTTCCAAGAGTTTGGTGGAAATATAGATTCTCAGGCCCTAACCTCAGCCATAAAGGATCAGAATCTCTGAGGGCAGAGACCAGGAATCTACTTCAGTAAGATCACCAAATGATCTGTGTGCATCAGAGTTTGAGAAATATGGTAGCAGACCAGTGCTTCTGAGATGGCAAGGTGCCAATGAAATACCTGGGAGTTCACTCACCAGGACACTGCTTGGCTGGACCCAAGATTCTCCCAGGGGAAGCTGGTGCTGCTGGTGCGCAGGCCACACAGAGTCCTAACCAAAGAATCACGGACAAAGGAGACAGCCCAGTTCTAATCTCCACAACTATCCATTAGGAGCAATTTCTGCTCAGAACTTAAGGCTTGATAGTTTATTTAAAGCATTTGAAAGCAGAATCATTTCATTACCCAATGAGCTAATTAGCTCTTCCCTCAAGCTCTTCAGTGAAATGACTGCTGAACCATTAAAAAACAACATGAAGTACGCAGATTCTAGCGAACTCCTTGAAAGCGAGGATGACCCTGTTCACTTGTGCCTAACACAGATCTACGTAATGAATGTCTGCGGAATGAACGAATGATACCTAAAGGCTGTTACCACTAAAAAGCAAGAAACAAAATTAGTTAAAGAGAATTAAAGGAATCTTCCTAAATGAGAGATGCCTTCTCCACCAAAGAAAAAAAAAGTTTATAAGGTGGAACAAATAAGAGTATTATCTTCCCTTTGAGTTGAAAGAAGAGAACAAGATAATTAAAAGTGGTAAGACTTTCTGATTCTATGTTCTTATTAGCTAATGCAATTGATTTGCAGCATCAGAAATAAGACAATGCCAAATTTTCCTTTCACCTGATTCTAATGTATACAGCCTAATTACTTGTTTGTCAGCAGTGGTCACACACCCAGCCTAATTAAAGCATCATGTAGGTACTTGCAAAAGTTCGCAGAAAATGGAAAATAAAAATGAGTATATTTGGGTGCAAAAATCCTGGAATCCATATGTAAATTTTTCCTTATTCACATTTTCCCAAGCTCTATGGAGCTTAACATGAGACTGCTAATGCCTTAAACACGAGAGCACTATCAATACTAGACATATCTGAAAGAACACGACCACAGAAAGTCTACACATCACGTAGATTTTTGCCTTATGAAAATAATGTAAAAATTGGCCACTAGATTCAGTCTTGTGGATAAAGTATTCCCTTCATCATGCTAATCTGGAGGTTGATTAAGAGGCTGGCTCTAGGGTAAAATGAGAAGAACAGGATTACATGATGGACTGCCAAATAAAATGCATCCCATAAGAAATATGGCTTCGCTCCCAACTACTCCACTTCCAGTGCAGCTCCCCGTTATGTGCCTATGCCTGAGGAAGCAGTGGAAGATAGCCCAAGGACTTGGGTCCCTTCCACCCACACAGGAGACCCAGATGGCATTCCAGGATCCTGGCTTCAGCCTGGCCCAACCCTGGCCATTGTGGTCATTTGGAGAGTGAGCCAGCAGAAGGCAAACATTCTCTCTCTCTCTCATCCCCTTCACTATCTTCCTCTCTCTCTTTCTCTGCACACCCTCCCCCCCCACCCCGACTCTCTTTTTCTCTCCAGTAAATATACAAATCTTACAAAAAGCAAAACATAAGATTGGGTTTTCACAAAGCCTACCATCTAGATAGTGAGATCCATGGTGCAATTAAGAAAGAATTAAATGTCAAACTCCACAGAATTACCTGAAAGGTCGGACAAGGTGAGGCCATGGCTGAATTGGAATCTTGGAAAGGCCTCAGAAGATGATGGGTTTTGCTGGAATAACTACTGCTTGAATAAACATATTTGAGAAATTTCAAATACACCCTAAAATAGTCCCTTAAATGCCTCTTAAGAAAAGTAGTTTGATTAACTTGGAGTTACTAAAATTGCTTTTTTAAAAAAAAAAAAAATCCTGGCCTCCCACATCTGTTCTAAGGCACTTTATTCCACCCTCAGACCCCTTACAAGATATAAAAAGAGATTTTAGAATTTTAATTTTATTGTAGTATGCACAGTGTCTTCACAAAATGTCATCTGGGGGCCCGGCGCGGTGGCGCAAGTGGTTAAAGGTCCTTGCCTTGCACGCCCGGGATCTCATATGGGCGCCGGTTCTAATCCCAGCAGCCCCGCTTCCCTGCCAGCTCCCTGCCTGTGGCCTGGGAAAGCAGTCGAGGACGGCCCAAAGCTTTGGGAACCTGCACCCGCGTGGGAGACCCAGAAGAGGCTCCTGGCTTCGGATCGGCATAGCATTGGCCTGTTGCACTCACTTGGGGAGTGAATCATCGGACGGAAGATCTTCCTCTCTGTCTCTCCTCTCTGTATATCCGCCTTTCCAATGAAAAAATAATAAAAATAAATCTTTAAAAAAAAAAAAACAAAATGTCATCTGGATAGTCACACTTTTCTAGGATGAGGGTATAGACACTGAGTGAGGAGCTACCCCATGCACTCCTGGGCGACACTGACCAGAAATTAGCCTTTTGGTAGTTAGAAGTGAGTCCCGGAGCAACAGAGAACAGCTGATAGCCTGGTGCTCTATAGCTTGCGAATCTCTAGGAAACACCGTGCCAAAACTTAGTCTTCTTGGGGGATACCTTCACACCTCAGAGGGTCACACCAATGAATTCTGGGAGAGGCTCAAGGAAGGAGCAGGAACTCCTTCCCACTTGGCTGTGTGACAAGGGACCAAACGGTTTGGCTCCTGCTGCCTCTCCAGTCACATTAGCACAGATGCTGGGTCAGAAGTAGAGCAGCCAGCACTGAAACCGTATGCTGAAATGAGACACTGGCATCACAAGCAGAGGTTTAACCCAAAGTGTCACAATGCTGGCCCCATGAAATATGATTTGTATTCTTCTCCATACTTTATTGTCACTCTAGTTTGTCCAGACAATGGTATTCAGAACCAAAAGCAAGGACCCCAGTATAAAACACCATATCAAGAACAGGGTTATCGTTGAATTTATCTGGATAATAAGATGCTGGACTGTGCTTGCAATGAAAGAATCTTAACTGAACTTGAACTGTAATACTGCAACAAGGTGGAGGAATCTACCATGGGGGGAGGGTATGGGGAGGGGTTGGGGGAATCCCAGAGCCTATGAGACAGTGTCACATAATGCAATGTAATCAATAAAAAAATAATAAAAATTTTTAAAAAGAAAAAAAAAGAACAGGGTTATCATTAAGTTATAATCACCATGGGCTGCTATTATGTTTCAGCAAGCAATGCCTAATATTTTTTTTTTCCCAGCAGCTGCAGAACTATTGATACATAAAAATACAAGCTCCATGTTGGTGGAAATTTACAACAGTTTCATTCACTAGTGTCTCCCCAAGTGCCCCCAAAAACTCATGGCAGGTGGATATTTGATCACATCTGTTGAAGGAATGAATAAAAATTAAGTTTAGTACTACTGAAAGGGGAAATTAGAGATTTGGGAGGATTTATTCTCAGGAAACCCATGTTACCCTCCAGAGACCACTACATCTACTAAATTATCACAAGCCATCTGCTTAATTTTCTGTTCCAGAGTCTTACTATGTGTTGAAGTCAAGCTTCCCAATCTATAGATCTCGTATCCCACCTTTACTATGTTTGGAGAAGATGACATTTCTTAAATTGCTTCCTTGAGCATTTTAACTGTGACTATTCTGTGTTGAATACAATTTCCTTGGTTCCCTGGAATAACAAATTTAAGCCTAGTGAGGGAGTGATTGCATAATTTTCTTCAGGCTCTACCTCCATAGTTGTCTTACATACACACTATTTACTGAGTCTTAAATATGGGTGTCAAGATGGTACTACTTCCATTATTTCATTTACATTAACAACAACCCCATGAAGTAGGTATTATTTGTTCCATTTTCAAAAGAAAGGGTGGGAAATGGGGACCAAGAGACCAAGGAAACATCCCAAAGTAATAGAATCCATAATTGGCATTGCTGAGATTCAATCAAAGTCTATTATGACTCACAGTCTGTACCGAAGTCATGGCACTATAACCTCATTAAAAAAAAAACCAATTAGGAGGAGAATAAGAAAGAGCTTATACAAATCCAGAATTGAAGAAAAGTCTAACACCTAAAATCAAGATACTGCTTTCAATATTAACACCACACTCTCATTGCTAGAGGATCCAAGAACTGTTGAACTATCCTACATCAAGCAGATGCTCCACAGTCAGAGTTATATACATCCTGACAGATAAGATCCCACTGGGTCAAAGTTAACATTGAGAAGCACACACTCGGAACAGGTGGGAGTCCATAAATACTAACTGGAAGGACCCCCCCACCAGCCCATGTGTTCTGGAGTCATGGAAAGGGAGGAGTAGGCAGAGGCAGTGGCGACATCAGGTACAGGCAGATGGCTGACAGAGGTTCTCCTA